TAGTCCTAATAAAAAGTTTATTTTCGAAATAAACGTGGTAATACAAAATTTATAATAAAATTAAAGTAGAAAGCTATTTCTTTTAATTACAACTTTAAAATTCCCTTCTCTCCCTATATTTCTACGTTAATAATTTTAAAACCCTTAATAGGTATTTAAAATTTACTAACATAAACGTAATCCTTTAGGGACGTTATTTAAAACGAAGAAAAACAATTAATTTCGTTAAAAATATAAATAGAAGCCTCATAATTAAGGATTATAAAATTCTTAAGTAAATAAATATTACCTTTACTACTATTTACGTTAAAATTATTTTATCTAACGAGAAATATTGAATTATAAATACTAATTTCTTATTTCTTTTAATTTTTCGAAATAGTAATCTATATAAAAGTATTAAAGCAGTCCTATATTTAATTCTTAACTTTTTTAACCTCTTCATTAATCTCGGGATATTTTTTGAAATTTTCATTAATAAACTTCTAAGTAGGGCCGCTTAGCTTTCATTTAGGATTATCCTTAATTTTAAATATTAAATATTAATAGCGTATTATTAAATAAGGGTTTTGCTCGTAAACTTTATAAAATAACGTAGTACCTCGTCTCTTTTTCGGCCGTAAAGACTCTTTCGCATTTTTATTTACGCTGCATTTCTTTCTTATATTTACTTTCTATTTCTTTTTATAATTAGAATTAGGAGCGTCCTCTTGATTAAACGCGAATTTTTATAAACTAGAATAGCTAATACCCTAAATGCTATAAACTATAGCTTTTTTAAAGTTAATTAATAATATAGTACGTTTCAATATACGAACCTTTTTAAAATTAGCGGATATATCCTTATATTTTAAGAATATTTCTTCGAATTTATTATCAAACTTCTGAGAATTGCCAACTTATATAAATTTATATTTATAAATTATATTGATAAAATCGGTAAATTATAAAGTAGGGGAGGTTACTTTATTAATTCTAAGTTTCTTCCTATTTATAAAAGGATTTCCTAGTCGGATAATTATTTTTTGAAGTCTTTAAATTACTTTTTTTATAAGTTTTTTAATAAAGGTTTAATAATTTGGACGAACTTTAGCAATTTAATCGATAAGTCGATAATTAATTTGACTTTCAATTTCTTTAAATTAATTACGAGTATATTTATCCTATTTAAATAAAGTATTCGTATAATAAGCGGTAATATAAATATTTATTTAATTATAAAATCGGGTATTAGTATCGTCGAAGTTTTTTTTAATATTTATAGCGAATATTATATATATTATTAATTTAATTATATATTACTCTCCCGGTAATTATTGAGTCAGTAAAGGGGTTAATAATTATATCATCCCTAATATCCTATTTAATACAATATTTATTATCCTCCCCTTCCTCTTCTTTATCTTCTTCCTCCAAACTTCCTTCCTTATCGTCTTTATTAGCGCCAGCGGCGGCTTCTTCTTAGAATTAAGTAGTAGTAATAATCTCGGTAATAATACCGTTCGTATTAATAACCGTAATAATAATTATTATAATTATAATCACAGCCTTCTTAACCCGGATTCCTCTATTAAATTTAACGAGCTCTTTCTTTACTGCTAAAAAACGGTCCTTTACTTACTTAATAAAGAAGAAATCTTCCGGCTTCGGGGGTAGAACCCTCTAAATTATAAGTCCTCCCTTAAATAGTTAATTACTAAAGTCTTAATTGTTATTAACGAATCTCTTAAGAGCCTTATACTAATTAAACTAATTAGTAAGGGTATTAAAGATAATTATAATAGCCTTATCGGTAGATTCCTTTAATAAGGATATAATTAACGTTATTAGTTTCGTAAGGATATTACTTATAATCGATAATCGTAGCGTTAAACGTAAATACGCAAATTAGATTATTAATTGTTAGATGTGATGGTGTAGAATTAATTAATTGAAGAGTGTATATGATTGACTCACTTAGAAGGTATAAGGGGTGCTGGGGTAACCCAGATATGCCCAGAAATCAGGCAATATCAGGTGGCTAGAGCGCTAACCTCCATATAGTATGGCTAAAACCACCCTTGAATCTGACAGGTGTAGGGTTGGAACTTGGAAGCCGCATTGCCAGATCGCGCATAATCGCGCGTCGTTCCTTTGGTGCTTCCACTCTTAAGGCTACACTAGCCGGGGTCAATCGGGCCAATCAGACAACGCCATGTACCGGGGCATGTTCTTTCCGTCCCCGGTCTGCTTCCCGCTCATTGACACCACTGCCCTCTCATTTTTTCGGTCGCAACAGCTCGGTCGCAAATCCGTCGAGTTCTGGGTCATCTTGCTTCCTGTGAGGCCCTGCGACCCAACAATCCTCCTCAGCTCCATCCTCCGCCGGCCGCTGTCATCAATCAACACTCACCACCACAAGCTATGCCACCACCGCCTCTTTGCTCTCCCTTGGTTCGACTCATCTCTTGTTCGCTTTCTACACCGTTGCGGCATCTTCTCAAGTCAGGTAATTTCCCGCATGCCCTGCTGAGGTTACGGTGCTAACAAAGATCACGCCGTGTCCCTTTGCATTCTCTTCTCTCCTTGCCCTCGTTGCCGGGCCGGGCACTTGTCGCACTGGCTCCGAAGGTACCTGGGGCCCTGGCACTGAATCCCGAACCTCATTACGGTTTTCGTGTACCTGGCATTACTGTACAGACTCCAGCAACGGACTTGCTTTTCAGCACGTGTCTAACAGGCATTTCAGCACCTCATGAGTTGATGCTCCGGTGTCTCGATGCTCAGAGTCAACAGTGAACTTTCAGCAGTTACTTACATATCATGACACCAGCCTTCTACCATTCGTCCTTCAGCCTGTGCGCTTGTGGCGCCCTTCAATATCACCAGTGCCGGGTCTGGACTCTCCAGGCAAGACTCTGCAGACAGTCCAGATGGATGATGATGACCATGGGAACCAACCCGTATTTTCAATTGCACTCCCTACAGGATTATCTCCAGATATTCGCTCCCAGGACCACCGTGATCGTATTCCCGCGAGTCTTGGATGAGGCTCTGGTTTTCCCGGACGAGACAGTTACAATAAGGACAATATCATCCCGTCCGATATTATCACCTTATAATGGCACTCACTGGCACCTTTTCCCGGACGACCTGCTTGAACCAGCCCACCATCTCACCCTCCCGCTATGCAGTGTGGCTCAAGCCGGACGCCGTGGTTGGGACCTGTCTGCAGTGCGGACGTGTTCTAGGTGGCCAGCCTCTTCAACCAAGAGCCAGTCAACATCGCCAGATGCCCTCACAGCAGTCAGCAATACGGGTCCCAGGAAAAAAAGAGAAAAAGAGGGGTTTCGGCCACCATTGCGGCCTTTGGCTCTTGGTGTGGTTGCAGTCTCCCACGTTCTCACCTTTGTACTCACTGATATGGTTCTCCCCCAGAGACATCACCCGTCCTGATTCAGAACAGAGTACCGTGCTACCGGCCCGGAGACACCTGTGCACTACAGTAAATACCTCTAATACCCCATGGAGCATCGGATGGACTCAACTCAAAACCACCTGCCGTTGCCGGAACTAGTGGTGTAGCTGTAAATTGCGCGTTCCTGCTTCTTGTCTCGTTGAGGGATTCGCCTTGCCTTTTGTCGTTAGCACCCCCCCTGGTCAACTGCTCCCCTCGGCGGGCCTTCTGTCCGTCCCTGGCGCCCCTAGCAACGTTGGGTTTGCTTGGCTCGAAAATCGTTGCCCCGGACTCGGACATCCTGGTCGGACGGCTCACTCAGTGCCCCAGCCTGCCGTCTTGCACAGTCACACAAGCTCCAATCTTTTATCGGTTTCTTTCTTGTCCCTTCTCTGTCATCATTGCCAAAGCTCGTAGCTTGTGCCTCCCTTTTTACCAGCCTTCAACTCACCTTTGCGCTGACAAACAAGCCCAATGCTCACAGTCAGGTCAGCTAGCCCACCTTGGATGTAACCAGGCACGATCATGGTGAAGGCAACAATCATTGGAGCTCTCACTTGCTTCTCTGCTGTGTTGTCAAATCGTCAATTGGGGCTCTTGCGAGATCTTAAACTGACTCAGATCAGTGATCGCCAGAGCAGGCTTTCGTCAGAATGCGTCGTGTTCTTCCTTGAAATCTTCTTCCTTCCCACATATCTGTCCAAGGTCTAGCTCGGCAAGAGCCTAGTCCCTTGATGCCGAGCACGGTTACATTGGATAGGGCCAGCCGGGCTAGTCTAGGCCTATTTGCTATTGGATTCCCGCCTCTCGGGCAATGATGTTCAATGGGTGGTTGTGCCTGTGGGATGTGGCCATGCATCCCCGCGAGTACGCCGTAGTGAAGCAGGGGAACACAGTGGAGCACGGGAGTACCAAACTCGGAGCTCTCGAGACTTTCACTCTCACTTTTGCCCGTCCACCCACTCGTCCACCAACAGGGCCTGCAGCGTATTGCTCTTGGTGCCATGCAAGTGTGTTGTCCCTTGGGAGCCTGGCATCTCTTTTAGTCGTTATTTTGTATTTTTCTCTTTTTCGACAGCCAGCCCCTTGGTGCCCGGTCGAGTCTTCCAAGCGGAGGACCATAATCCAACGGGGTAAAAATAAACATCCAGGAAACCAAAGTAAGCCGGCCTAGCATTCCCTCCTGTCCGCACCGTTGGAGCCACAACGCACCACATCACGCCAAAAGACATGGGATGGGATAGGATAGGATTGCTCTGCAGACGAGGGTGATGCTTGCCGAATAGTGCACTTTTACGCCATTGGTTCATCTGTTTTGGGCTTACCCAAAAGATTGCCTGGTCCCCCAACCTGCCAGGGCCTGTTAGTTCCCACCAGCCTTATATCATCGGCCAGTGCCGCTGCCGCACCCCATTTCCGTCGTTTATGTTTTTACGTCAAGTCTTCCGGCGCAAGCTTCACTCGTTGCGACAGCTTCACACTCGTTTTCCCTTCCGGAGACCTGACCTCACTCGTTGGCCTGCTAAACTTACCCAGCTTGACTTGACGGTCTCTTTCAGGCAGCATGCTTGTTACGAGGGTTTTGGGCACGCTCGGGGCGTTGGCCCTAACCCAGCTCGTCTCCGCCGCCGAAAGGCCGCTTTACCCCAGGTCCAACACCACGGAGGTCTCAAGCGCTGCTCCCGTCGAGTCTCTTGCGCCTGAAGAGAGCTTTACCGCTTATACCGATAAGGGGTTTTGTGAGGAACATAGGCACGACTGCCGCAAGTGCGTCGAGCCAATTGTGTAAGTGAAGGATCCATTAACATGCTGCTCGGTCCATGACTAACACTTGATAGGACCACAACCACTGTTTAGTATGTTGATCTTCCTTGTTCGAATGGGAGGAGTTATCAGTCTAATAGCAGACTAGCAAGCCTAAGCCCGCCTCTACAGTGACAGTTATTTGTACAGAATCGGTAAGTCATGACCGCCGCAGCGAGATGCAAATGGCACCAGATACCTTCCATTGTACTCTGCCAGCTTCTGTATGAAGTTACGGGTTACCCTGAAACCGCGGAGAAACTCTACCTGCTGTACCACAGGACCGCCAGTCTTCTTGGTCTCCCGTAGATCCTGGCAACTACGTTCATCGCTAACTTGGATTGCAGTACACGGCAACGGTTACGGCAAAGGAGACAGTCATCCACACTGGTGTCGTAACGGCAACGGTGGTAGAGACAGTCATTCACACCTCAACCGTCGAAGAAACCGAATATGTACGGCCGATTTTACCTTTTCCCTTCTTGTCTAGTTAGCATGCTGACTAATATGTTCAGCTCACAACCACCGTCCTCGACACCGAAACGCTTACTGACACGGCCATCGTGACCTCTGGATACACGGAGACCGCTACCGACTACGAGACTATTACCGCAACCGCAGTCTATACAACAGTAAGCTCACGCATAATCGTGAATCCATCAGATTCATGTGACTAATGGCCTCGCAGAGCTACCCAGTCACTACAACAGTTACCATTTGTAATGGGGAGGATCACTCTTCGTATTGTGTTGTCAGCACGACGACTACATGGAAGACAACCACCGAGACATCGACTGTCGAGACAACGGTCGAAGTCGCAGTCCCGACAACAGTCCCAACAACCGTTTACATCCCGACGACAGAGGTGGAAACTGAGACGGTCGTTTACACTACGGCGATATCTGTCCCGTATACTGTGGTTGATAGCACAACTCTCTGGTCCACCATTGAAACAACCTACACAAGCATCAATGTAAGCCTTTGCTCCTCTGATTGTAAAATACAAAGGATTCTTGTTAACTAACATTTAATCCAGACCATCGAAAAGACAACGACTGATTATGTTGAGGTGATTTGTACTACGACCACCACGGAAATCAGTTCCTACCCGGTTACCGTGACCGGCACCAAGACGATATGGACGACCGACTACAACACAATCACGGACATTTACACCACGTTGGTTCCGACCACGACAACGGACGTTGTAACCACCACCGATGTTGTGCTTAGCACTGTTGTCAGTGCTACGACGGAAACCACGACCTTCACCACGGTAACTTCTTATCCGGTGACCGTTACCGATAGCACTACTTTCTACACAACCGAGACGGCCGTAGTCACATCTGTTGTTGTCAGCTCTTTCACGTCCGTTCAGACTGTCACTGATCGCACGACCGCAACCGAGGTTTTCACTACCACCGCGACTGTCGTTCCGCCGCCCATCATAACAACCGTATCTGGCACTCCTATCACCATTACACTCCCTCCAACGATCGTTACGCAGACCTTGGATCATACTATCACTCAGACGGAGCATAAAATCTCTACTCTGACGCTCCCAGGAACAACAGTGGTGACCACATTTACATCAGTTGTACCCCCCACCACCACCACCTTAACCCTTGATGGAACCACTGTCACTACCACGCTGCCCGCTTCTACGATAACGAGCACGACGACCTTATCGGTACCCCCTCAAACCATTACACAGACAATTACCAAGCCACCCTCAACGATTACCATCGCCACGACCGTCTCGAAAACGATCACAACTTGCTTCCCCACGGGCACTGTTGCGCCCGCTCTTCGGAAGGCGTATGATCCTAAGTCTGACCGGACTTGGGGTTGTAAGCCTGGTTTCGTTTGCAATGAGCCTAAACCAGACGGTTGCAACTTGTGGGCCGATTCGCCTTCCGATGATTATGTGTGCGAACCGCAGTGGTGTAAGCCAGCTCCTTGGTATCCTAATGTGACATGGCCAACCAACCAAACTGGTTATTACCCGCCAACCGAGGGTTATTTCAACCTCAACCCTAATGCATTCGGTTTGAGCTACGATATCTTCGAGGAGGAGCTCGTTATCATTGCAGTCGGCGGTACCACAACAACTATTGCCACGGGCAATTGGGCTTCCCAGACAGACATAACCCATTTCCCACTGGCAACAACCACTACTTCAGCTTCTGCAGCCTCATCTGCAACGAGATACGGATACAAGCGCAATTCGCGACTTCTTTCAAAGCGCGACGATAGCGTGATTCCTTCTTGGTGTTATGTTGATTGCAACAAGGCGTATCACGAGGCTCAAAAAGTTGGCAAGTCAGAGGCCTTATGTGCCACTGAATCGCAGTTCAGCAAATATTACCATGACTGCAACACGTGTATCGAAAAGGGAGCCAAGGATCTCAAGCTTGCCACCAAGGAATATCTCGAACCCAAGTTTTCTCAGTACATCAACTACTGCAACGAACAGGCCCCTTCACCTGCCCCAACCAGCATACCCCCACAGCCGGTCGAGTCTACCACTCCCACGATCTCCACAACTTCGCAGCAGGCACCTAACTCGAGCACTGAGCCCGTACCCATCTCAACCTCGTCTTCTCCGCCAGCCCCGGAGCCTTCCACCACGACTACCTCCGACGTCCCTCCTCCATCCTCGAGCTCTTCTGCTCAACCATCGTCAAGTGAGCCAAGTTCGTCTTCTGCGCCGGCCTTGCCTTCTTCTCTACCCCCAGTTATAGTTCCCTCGTCAGAGCCGGTGATCAGCTCCTCTTCCTCTGCTGCCCCGCCACCCCCTTCCTCTTCTTCTACGGCGGTGGTAATTTCCTCTGAGCCCGCGGTTGTTTCATCGACTCAAGCTCCTTCTCAGCCGCCTGTTTCTTCCTCTGAGTCGGTAGTTTTCTCATCTTCCGCGGCGCCGGTTGTTTCGTCTTCTTCGGAAGTCCTAACCCCCTCGTCTTCAGCGTCGAGCACGGCTGTCTCTGAAACTTCCTCAACAGTCTCGACCGCGTCATCTTCATCGGCTGAATCGTCGACCTCGACCGTATCGTCATCCTCAGCTGTATCATCCAGCGCAGTTGTGTCGTCGTCTACCACCAGGTCGTCTGCAGTCGGGGTATCGTCGGTCACCGCCTCTTCCACCGGACCTGTGTCAGTTTCGTCGTCGTCTACCACCAGGTCGTCTGCAGTCGGGGTATCGTCGGCCACCGCCTCTTCCACCGGACCTGCGTCAGTTTCGTCGTCTTCCCTATTGGCTTCGTCGCTGCCCTCAGTTTCAAGCATCGGGTCATCGATCACCGCACCCGGTAATGGCACTGTTAGTGCTACTGGCACAGGGGGCTTCATCACCTCGACCGCCCCACCGTCTAGCATCTCCGATATGCCCCCCGTTCCTGCAGCGGGCAGTGTCACCCAGTCACCGTCGGTAGCGGCTTTGTTGGCTACCATCTTGGCAGCCATCCTTTTCTTGTAAATATCTTGATTAACGAACAGGGGAGTTCTTCCGCTTTAATTCCCTGTTTCAGCCTTTTAATACTTTCCCCTTTGGATCCTCATGGATGAGATCCGTGGATTGGCCCGGGTGTGGAAGTGTGGTGAACGGGCGAGGCACGTTCTAGTGTTTAATCTGCTGAAAGAGGGAGAATATGTGGTTGGTGTATGTGTTTGTGTTCCCGGGATGTTCGTTCTAGAAGTACTTCGCTTCTTCGCTCCCGGTGTTCCACCTCAAAACACACTCCTGGAGAGGGATGATGGGAGTTGGGACATGTATATGCTTGTGCTCCATTGCGCGGATGTATGTACGAGCGGGTGCGGATGCGGCCGTCGCCGCGGCGGGAATGTGCAGCGTTGTAGCTGTGGGAGGTTTAATAAATGAAGGACAAAAATGGAAGGGAGGGAACGATTCAAGGATTTGGGACACTTACGAATTCACGACACTCATTTTACATGAAGGTACATAGCTTGGCATGAAGCTGAAGGAAGGAGAGGAGAGGAGATTGATACCCTTGTTATTTGCAGATACACTCCTTTGGGATAATGGACATGGTTGGAGACAGTGGAAACTTTTGAAGGCATTTTACATCATTACCATCGCTGCTGTATCTTTAAGTGATTGTAACATATGTCTTGTATTCGCACGTGGACGCGGGTGTCCGACCTTCGGGGATACAACCTTCCTCAACAACGACGAGGACGACCAATCGCAGCCAAACCGCATCGAGAGTATTAAAACCGACATAATTGAAGGACTTATTTAATAAGCAAAAGCCACCGCGTCGCGCAAACCTGAAGCACATGCGCTTCATCATAAGCAAAAGGGAAATGATACAAGTATACAAAAAGTATGTGGAGAAAAAAAAACATACAACACCTGGGATTCGCTGGTCGTCACCGACCCAACTACTAGTCAGGCGATTGGTAGCTTATCTATGGGAGAGCGGACGGGATCCCGAGTTTTCTACCATCTGTGGTCGTATGTGCTTTTTTGTAGCGATACACTGCCTTATAAGCGACTCATTGTTGTTGTTGTTGTTGTTGTTGTTGTTGTTGTTGTTGTTGTTGTTGTTGTTGTTGTTGTTGTTGTTGTTGTTGTTGTTGTTGTTGTTGTTGTTGTTGTTGTTGTTGTTGTTGTTGTTGTTGTTGTTGCGCGACGATTGATGGTGATGGCAAAATCGTGTACGGCGTCCTACCTACGCCAGGCTGATTGCGGCGCGGGGCTTTTGATGAACATGAGGCACTTGTTGGATTATTAGACTTGAGCTGGAATTTTTGCTGTGTTAATTGTGTGCTCTATACTATAAAAGAGAGAGACGAGACTCAGAGGATGCGCAAGACACGAAAGGAGATAGAAGAAAAGGAGGAAGGAAAGAGTCAAGATGGAAGGAAAAACGGGAATGGAATTAGTGCAGTGCACTGAGTGTGAGCCTACCCCAGGTTTCCTAGCAGCCATGAGATGTCTTGTTTTCGGAACCATTGCGTTGTCTGTTTCTGTGTCCCCCTCCAAAGCGTTTGTGATGGATGCACCCGAGCTGGTGAGTTAACGAGTATCGGCGTTCTTCATGTCGATTGCTGTCTAAATCTCACCAGGTCAAGTAGAGTACTCGTCGGGCCTCGAATGGCCTACTTTCCCAAAGCCTTGGTTGGTATTGAGTCTGGAGACCCTTCTAGCCCTGACGGGAACACATATTCTTCCACGGTTAGGAACTGTTTAAGCTCCTGCGCTGCCTAACTCTTTCTCGGGTATTCGCTTGGATGGGGTTTCTTGAAACTAGCCGATCTCCGGAGTCCTCCATTGCTCTTGTCTCTCTTATATACCAGCAGTTTTCTTGCATGTAACCGTCGAAGGGAATATTGAAAGGGTATAAGCGAATGAGGTCCAGGAGTGACAAAGCCAGCATACGGTATTTTGGAAACTCAGTTGCGGACTATCTGTGTGGTGGTTGCGATCACATGTGTAAATAGAGATTATGCAAATCGGCATCCGTGTCTTCTTCCATAGGGAATACTCACGCGAGAGCATCATCCTCAGGATCCTGTAAGGAAGCTGGATCATAGGAATATGTGGATGTGCTAAGTCCATTACCCGGAGTTTTTGGGGTGAAACAGTACTTGATGGCAGCGAGGAGGGAGTGAGAATTGAGGAATTCTCAATAGAGGTGGTGAGGGGGTACGGCATGGACGAAGATGTATCAGGGTGTGCCGGAAGACCCGAGAAAGGAGCAGGAATTGAGGAATGATCAAGCGGAGCGGTGAGGGGATACGGTATGAGCGAAGACGAATCATATGGTGGTATCTGAAGCTGTGAAGGGTCTTGGAAGGAGAAGGCGTTGATGTCTTCATTCCAGAAGAAGGCGTTGATGTCTTCGTTCCAGGAGACGGGGTTGATATTGTCGATATTGTAGATTGGGGAATCTTCAACAAAGGGCCATGAAGGCACGAACGCAGCTTGTTGATATTACAAGCCTTGAATCCCGGTCCCAGTCATGCCACTGTGTTCAGCGCCGTCAACATACTCAAAACCAATAAACTGTGCAAGCAAATGTTCCCCGGCCTCGGTGGCTTCATTTTCTTGCTTCTGCTTTGGACCTTTCCTCGGCTGCTTCACCCTCAAGGAAAGGTTCCTTCTTAAATGCGCAACGACGTCATGGTACGCCCCGTACTGCTTTTTGCTTGAACAATTCCTGCAATGTGCGAGCACACTGCAAACCCATTTAATTTTGCGACGGTGTACCCCTACCATATGGCTGCCCAGGTCCTTTACGGAATTGAACCCATCCGGTCGGCGGTCACACTGAGGGCATTGGAGCCTCGTGAGCTCGGATTTGTCCTCCACTTCCGCAACAACCAAGTCCATGTCCGTCCCAGACGGGTTGAAGTTAGTGAACCCAGTAGTAGCCTTGCCTTTTCTGTCATTGGCAGTTGTGGGTGGCAGCACGAATAAGGATAATTCCTCTAAATGTTTGGCCAGATGATTTCCAAACGCCTGAGGTGTCAGTTCCCAATCACTGGGCATTGATCCGCTTCGTCGTTGTAGAGTTCCTTTGTAATCACATAGGGGGCATGCCTCAGCACCGATCTTCTCTGGTGGTCTCCCCAATCGTTCCGTATGGGCTTCGTCATTGTCGGCTTTGATGATGTCCGAGTGTTTCTGCGTAAAGTGTCTCTTCATATTCCACGAAGAATGGTGAACTTCATCACACATATCGCACTGCCAGTGTTTTCGGTGGACTTCCATCTCGTGCTGAAACCACTGTTGCCGAGTTTCGAAAAGGGGCGCAGGACAGCTGTCAAAAGTGCAGGTGTAAGACGAAAGATCGGCAAACACATGCCTCTGCCATTCTGGTGTGTTTGATATTTCGACCTGGATGTAGCAGTATGGGCATCGGAAGCGTCTTCCTGAGGTCAAATCCGAGGGAGGCTCCGGGACCAATGATTCAGGCTCGTCTTCATCCATTTTCATTGAAGAAGACCCACCAGAGTCCGTTGCAGTAGCCCTCGTTGTCTCTCCTTTTTTTTTTATCCGCCCCAAACTGTCTAGCTGAATCAGACGTTGTCGGAACTGTGGCGGTGGAGGAGGAAGAATCCTTCTGATAATTGGCATAAGTTTTTAGCGCCTTCGAGTCCAAGTGGGACTGATATAAAGGGCTTTCGCAACCTTGTCGTCGACTCTCGAGCCATTTCCTTCGTTGAGCATTGGCCCTCCCTAGTTTCCTGACCAGGGGTTCGTTCCCTTTGGCCCAAGGGAACTTCTCACGCACATGCATGATATCGGGTTCTATGAAGTCGGAATCCTTGAGTTGGCAAAGATCGAACTTGGAGTTGAGTAACGAGTCGTCAACTTGCATCGCTATCCTTAGAAGACTAGTGATGGTATCATCGATACACCGGCATAGTTCGTTCGATTCGGTGACAGTCTGCGGGTCCGCAGTCCCTTCCTTGATCTTCCTGATGTAGGCTCCAAATTCACTGTCTGAATCCTCGGATGAGCTCAGGTCCATATCACTTGGCGGTGCTCTGGTCAGACTCTTCACCCACGTTCGCTGTTGCCGGGTGCCATTCAAAATCTGCATCACTGTTGATGGTCAGCTGGGAACCGTGACATGCGGGTTTCTGAAGCCGGGCATTGATATACGAACAGTCTTCCAGAAATTTTTGAAGCTGATCTAGTAGCCTCAACACCTCGTCGCACAAATCGCGCCGAATACCATGCGAATAAAGTAAGGGATCAAACGACTTGTTCAAGTCCGTCTTGTACAATTTCCTTATGGAAACGGTCCATGTGTCGAACCGGTAAAGTGACGCGCTGACGGATTCGACGAGTTGTCCAAGCTCTGCATTTTTGTCTGTGGCAACATCTAGGATTTCCAGGCTGTCTCGGAGGACGGCTCTGCACGCTTCAGCTTTGTGGCCAGTTTTGCCAGGAATTCCAACACCGTGCGCCATATCTTGGTGAAGTTGAGTCTTGCTTCAAAGGATGGTCGTCCATTCGACCAGAGACAAGAGGATGTTTAGCAGCTTTCCGAGGTCATGAAATGAGCTTTCAACACACGTCGTTGTCCGTTCGGCTTTGGCGAGCGGTGGTAGTGATTACTGATGAGAAGGAACAGCTGAGGCCAACCCCGCGTGAATTTGTGAGATTGCCAGAGTTTTGCGACTCTCATCAGCAAGCAGTCCGTCATCCTGTGGTGTAACGCATCCTCAGCGCAGCTGAGTCGAGCGATAAGACCAGTGATGGATTGCGGGAAAAAAAGGTGGTGAGGGCTATGACCAATTGACTATTCAGGAAAGCGCCATGTTGAAAGTGGCAACTGGGTTGGTTGGGTCGAGGCTCGGGATTCTATTGCGGCATGAGGCGAAGTGATTTCAATAAAGACGAAAATGTATTGGTGGCTTGTTTGGTTGAAGAGGAGAATTTGTGCCAAACCCAACAAAGCATCTACAAATGGAAATTCAAGGCGGGATGCACCTTCCACACTGCACGTTACAACAGCGACGCTCCAGCCTGCTTGACGTGCATGCATGCAGGCCTTGCCCTCAGTAAGGAGGTAGGTGCTCCCCTCAGACGAAAACCTATGTGGAGGCAAGACTCCCTCGGCCGACTTTCTTGTCCTTCAAGTTCAATTGTCCCTTCGGTCATTCGTATAATCAACCAACGCACTCTGGGCCTCTATTTCGAAGATGTCCGGTATCGAAGTTGCCGGCCTTATAATCGGCATCATCCCGCTTTTGGTTACAACGATTGATCAGTGTCAGCAGGGCTATAAGCTTCTAGACGAATGGATACACTTCCAACGCGAGTTTTCCGAGTTCTCCAACACCGTCAGATGCCAGCGTTTACTTCTAAAGAAGCTGATCCAGCGGACTTTAGCATCGGTAACTGAGTCTGAGGAGACCTTAGCTAGGATGCTAGAAAACCCTAGCTGTGACGAATGGAGAGACCCAGTTATCACCGAGAAGCTCAAGACTAAGCTCTCTGGCGATGAAGAGTATGATACATTCTCTAAACTGCTGCAGTCTGTGCATAGGCAGCTTGAGAAGTTGATTTCTGGACTTCAGAAGTACAGTGGGCCGAAACCAGTAAGTAGTTTGCTTTTTCAGCAAGACGTTAGTCGTCTCGCAACATGATAAAATTGGCAGTGCTCACCAAGGTCTCCTTTTATGTAGGCTCAATCCACAACCCCGGCTGTCCGGACTCGAGTGCGGAATGAGTTGAGAGCACTCCAATTCTGCTTTCAGAAAAAGAGATTAATTGATCGGGTTACCTTCATGTCACAGCAGATCCAATCATTGGAGAGACTTCTGGGCAACGCAGAAATTATACAAACGTCGCGACAACCTTGTACTGAGAACAGCATTGTAGCACTATTCGAGCGTGTTAGGCGACAGGCTACCAGTCTACACCGAGCCATAACTAGATCGTGGACATGTGGCTGTGATAGTCACGCCTTCAAGCTTATTATCGGCAGGCCATCTCGACCTGGCCATAGCGGCGAAGACAATCCGACATCAGAATAGAAGCACCTCCGCATTGCTTTACCATGCGGCGACGAAGCGAAGGGAGATGCACTTACGTCCCAGTCAGCGAGTAACGCCGCCCGGTGGTGCATCGTTGAAGCCGCTCTCGCGACTACCTTTGAGCCACACGTTTCAGTCTGGAGTCAGCTTAAATCCGCGGAGAAGTCATCAACACAATTGCTGCTCACCGTTCCAGCCGGTAAGCAGAGCGGGAGAATAGCCAATAATGGCAACTCTTCTACTATGCTATGTCAACCACAGCCGACCATAGTTTTGTCCTCGGCAGAGAGTCCATATCACCACGAGCCCCTGACACTCGCTCCCGACAGCATCCACGTCATTCATGACTTGTGCTCCATGCTCAAATTCCAACCGACAACTAGCCAGCTTGGCTATCTCTTCGACGGCACCAACTCATATCACGCCTTAGTGGTCGTGCCCACCGGGACATCTAGCCCGGAAATAGTGGGTCAAGCCGTGAGCCTAGGACACATACTTGCAGGAAGCACTTCTAAAGCAATTGGTCCGACTACCATCCTCGCCACCGATCCCTCCAAGAATTTAGCCGTGGCAATCCCTATCCCTTCTATCCCTGCAAGGCTGAATATTGCTCTAACGGTTGCCCACTCGCTTCTCGAGCTATTTCCAAGTCCTTGGCTCCCAGGAGACTGGGACAAGAATAACATCTACTTCTCTGTCAACCAAGATGGGAGCGTCAACACTGCAATGCCTTTCCTAATTTCCAGGAATAACAGCGCGCGCACCAGCAACACCCAGAGGAAAAAAGGCAAAGAGCCCGCGGAACCAACATCACACACATCGAGACCTCATGACCATGGAAAGATCTTGCTCGCCCTCGGCACCTTGATCCTCGAACTATGGTTCGGCCAGCCTCTCGATTCCCAGCCTTCATGGGAAGCCAACTTCGGCCCCAATGGCCAGGAAACAGAGTTCACCAAATTCAACGCCGCAGCGACCTGGCAACGGATGATTGCGGATCATGGTGGACCGGAACTGCACAACATTACTCGGCGATGTATTTACGGCAACTCCGACTTGGCCACGCAAAGCTTGGAAGACGCAGAACTGATCAAGGCGGTTTATGAGAACGTGGTGATGGAATTGCAAAAGCTCTGTGACGCACTTTCCCAATGGGGGAACCCATGGTAGTGACATTAATGGCAACCTGGAGGTCTATATCACGGTACTTTCATGGTACGGTTGAATGTAAGCAAACACTACCTACCAAACTGGAATTTCCTTCGCAGGCCAAAGACAGCTAAAGCAAAAAGAGGAATGAATGAAAGCGAACGAGACCAACCAGATATAGACTCACTACTGCCTTTTCTTCATACGCGCCTTTAGTAAGTCTCTAATACATGTTTACACCTCAGTCAACCTTGAATAGAAGTTGCTTGACCGTCTGGGAGTCGTCTTCGTGCCCACCGCAGGCCACCAACGCTTGGGCTTAGTAACCTAGGATACGAACGACAAGCGCGAGGTAGACCACGACACCACGAGCTGCCCGGATCCTGTACGAGCGGCGTCGAAAATAGGTATAAGCTCTCTAGAAATGAAACGGAAATGAACAAGTGCGGTCAGGGACAAGGCTGAAGGGAAGAGACTGTAGGCAGAACCATCTTCACGGTCGGAAAATAATGAGCACCCAGTCTCACTTGGGATAAGAAGACATTACTCGGGGCAGTAGTATGGAAATAACATGAATACTTAACGTCAAATTGTTCCAAAGTCTTTTCTATTAACTAGTGCTAATGGTGGAAGAAAAAGAAGCTGAAACCAGTGCAGCCTATAGACGACAATATAGAAAGCTATATATGCTATACCCCTTTAACCCGAACACAGCGCAGTAAAACGACTAGTATAGGGGTCTTAGCATTCCTTACTGCTGCCTTACTGTTGCAGGTATATAGCTGCACACCTGCAATAGGTAAGGCAGCCTTCCCTCAACTGGGCTACCGCGGATCTAAATACAGCCTTACAATAGTGGAAAACCCGCTGGTACCAGTGGATTTCAAGGTGTGCACTCATTGTGAGACTTCTGTGAGGGGTGTAAGGGTCTCGTTCAAAGTGAAATCCCATCAGTTTGTCAACCTCGCGAGAAAAAGAATCCCATGACTTCCTGTCATCTTCTTTGATGACGCAATAGCTGCGTCTGATAACCGGGAGTGCTTTCTGCATTACCGTCCGCAATGGAACATCATAGTCCACCATAATATCCAAATCCCGCACATCGTTTGAGATAGCTAGTAACGCAAAGAGATAATCGCGGCGTTCGGTGGCTTGGAAATTGCCATCCACACAAATTTGGAGCCACTGGCCGAAGCTTCTGTGCCCATTCTCCCGTGCTTGCAAATGTCGAAGTGGAACGCTGGAGCCGGTGATGCAGAGGAACTTCGTAAGATCACCATAGTAGTTCCTTAGATGGGTTTCCTTGTACCTCGTATGAGGAATACACTCGAAGCTCTTGAGCGTATGAAAAGCTCTGTTAATATCGGTATCGGTAATGGATCGAGACCCGCACCTCACCACCAAGGACCGGGACATGTGTATCTCCTGCAATATCCATACCCTTCGGCAGTACGACCGATTGCATAGCAGCATGATCGCTTTCATGGTCATCCATGGAGGGTAAGCATCGAATGTCTGCTTGGGTTCAGGAGGCTCCAAAATGCGGGTGACGAAGCAGCAATCCTTCGGCAATGACAATCGCCCATATTGACTGCATGCCTCGAGAGCGTCAATGGCCAAGTCGCTGTACCTTCCAGCAAGTCCCAGCCAGGCGATAACTAGCGCAGCCTGGCCAAAGATCTTCCCCATTAGCCGCACTTGATGTGGTTTTTCTCCATATTCTTGCCGTTGGTCGATACATATCGCATCAATCCACAGAGGATAGTTGGCAAACTCGCCGGGTGATGCGCGGATTTCTTTTAGGGCTTCGTATAAATTCTTCCGAACCCGCAGAGGGTAGCGGCTGTTGATCATAATAACGGGGTCGTGTTGGTCGTCTTGCAATCCCCATTCGTATGATAGGGCTCGGTAACGTGGCTTTTCTCCGAGTCGAGCAGGAATCATGGTAAGCTCGATTGGATCGTTGGCGTTGGAGCTGGGCAGGAGATAAACCAGGCGGATGGAATCCTCGTGAACTAACTGTTGATAAGTGTCGCTCGAATTGTTTGAGCTCTTACGCTGTCGGGAGGGGCGATTGCGGTAGAGAGACCGCATTGAAGCGCCAAGATTAGACCAAAAGCCGGAATCGGAGGCCATTGTTGGTAGCGCTGGCAGGTGTACTGGCGTACTGGCTTCCAATTCTTGGCCTTTCGGAAGATTCTGGGTGCAGCTGTGGGAATAGAAAGGGTCCAGTGTTGCAATCGGCGAGGATCGATTGTGAGGGATAACATGTTTACCGCCTACTGAGGTAGACAATGTTTTTGACAGGAAAAGTCAGCTCAAGGCTGAATCGTGTAGCACACCTTGGGTTAGGAAAGCTTAGACTGTGTTTGTTCACGTACTTTTTCGTTACAGAAGCGTTCATACACCCTTTTTCGTACGACAGTCGTACAGAAATGCTCGCGTTTAGCACCATGTCGTATAGAAATGCAATATGCGACCCCCTCATAACAGCCTTGACCAAGCGGATAGAATCCTCATATTCAAGTCGCTCATACCCATCGTTTGACCATGACTGGTTCAAAACAAGGGAAAGATAGCCAGAGCCTGAGGCCATTTCTCCTGGTGAATGTCGAGTGTGTGCTTTGTCTTCCTCTCAAGAGTACGTAGAGAAAGTTGAGGGGTAATGTTTGTTGGACTCGAGCTAAACAATGCACGAGGTAACATTGCAACGTGATGACCATGGGCAGAGAAGTCATTACTGCGGGAACTTTCGAGGATTCAGAGCATCATTGCGTGGCAAGCGGACGCCGATTGTTGGGGGAAAGGAGGTTCGGATCTCGAGTATAGGCGTTAGGTAAGGAAACTCCATGAACGGCGATGCCGCATCGGTGGTCGGGCTCATTGTTGTCGTTGTCGCGCATCGTGGATCGGCCTGCGATTGCAACAAAAGATTAGTTAAGCAACCCTGCGGACGAACAGAACGAAGAACCATACCTTAGAGGGGAGGACGCGATGTTGATTAAACGCGTCGTTTGATCTGTACAGGACCAAAAAAATGGAAAGATCGGATGTGAGAGATTGGAGACTGGTTGCCCCTCATCCTGTCTTTCCCATCCCCTCATCCCATTGTCTCCCATTGTGCCTTCCCGATGGACATCTACAACATTTCCGTGGAAGCAACAATCGGCCTTGCGCAACTGAAACACTCAATCCAAAAGCAGTTCAGACTAGCGAGAGACCTTCATTTGCAAGGACTTGGACTAGGACTCAGTGATGCAAGTGAGGCACAAAAACTGCGAGTGATTGCCGCATGGTGAAAAAGGAAGAGAGCAGGGAGATGAATATAGAGGTGAACATGCCGAAGAAAAAAATCGCAAAAAAGAATTGCTTCATGATCCGACTGAGGCTCGATCTCAGGACCTTCAGTGTGTTAGACTGACGTGATAACCAACTACACCATCGGACCAGCTGTTGTTGTTGAAGGATTTGGCTGGAAGTGGGCCTTATATCGGTAGTTTTAGTGCGCGAGTCAGTTCCTAATAATGGTTAGTCAACCTTCAACATCACGAACCCTCCCTCTAACCTCGAATGCCACCGGGGAAAATGAAACAGCACTTCGAAGGAAGATCAGTTCTTTTCTCTTGTTGCTCAAATAGATTTGCTGGGGTCACTTACTGAGATCCCGCTACGGGTGTCAACAGCTTATCCAGACCCGTCGCGCTCTCAAGCGATGCAAAACACAGCACCGCCTACCCAAACAGCTAGTACTCTAAACATTCATTGACCATTACACTACAAATACTGATTTTTACTTGCCACTAATATCCACCGTAAAGCTTACCCGCTCGTCGCATCTTCTCTGTCTCATAACTTCCTAAGCCCATCACGTACCCCATTTCATCATTCTTCCACCGCTCAGCTCCCAAGATAAGCCCTAATAGCACCCTGCAACCTCCCAGCACCCTCACCAACCATCTGCGTAAGGTTCTCCAGATCATCGCTAGCAGTGATACCAAACTTGCGAATGAAGTCCTTGGCAGCAGACTCAAGGTCGCCGTAGTCTTCGACGGACGCATCCTCCTCGGGACGGCCGAAGTAGGCGTTGGACGAGATGGCCTGGGCACCCTCGAAGCCTTGCAGACGGGCCTTGGTCTCGGCCTTAACGGAGGGGTCGTAGTTGCCCTTGTTGAAGAACTCGTCGGAGGAGATGGCCTTTTGGTTGGCGAACTTGTTGCGGGCGTATTGTTCTTCGTCGGCTGTTTCGTATGTTAGCCTTGCGTGGGAGCGAGAAGAGGGAAGATAAGAGGAGAAAAACATACCATCACTAGCCTTAATAGGCCCAACACTTCCAAACCCACCCGCATTCTTCTTCACCGCCGCCGCTCCGCCCGCGCCCGCAGCACCAGCACCACCGGGCTTGCCCACCATACCAAAACCCAGCTTCCTGACACCCATGCCCAGCCTCTCCACCTCAGCAGCCGACTTCTCCTGCGCCGCCGACCTCGAACTGGAGGAGCTAACCGGCGCCGCAGCAGGGGTGATGATATTGCTCGCCTTGGTCTCAGCCTTCTTCGCCGTCTTCTCTTCCTCCGCTTCGGGATCGTAGCCCAACTTCTCGACGCGCTCCGCCTCTTCTTTAGCCTTCTTCTCCGCCTCGTCGAAATCGATCAGGTCCGCCGAGATCTTCTTGACGCCCAGCTTGGCCGCGGGCTTCTTGGCGCCCAGGATGCCGCCGCCGACCTTGCGCGGGCCGCCGGTGGCGCTGCTGCCGGGGGTTGTTTTCCTTAGGGCCGCGGAGGTGGTGATGCGGCTGGCGGCGGGGGCGGGAGTGGGAGCATCGGAATCGGTCTTGGAGAGGGGCGAGGCAGTGCGCTGGATGTCCTTGCCGTTGCCGAGGAGCGGGGAGGCGGTGCGGCCAATGACTGGGGGCGTAGAGGTGCGCGAGATGGGAGGTGTCGGCTTCTTGATGGCGGGCTTGTCCCACGAGGAAAAGAAGTCGTCGTCGGGCTCGCCGGCCGGGGTGTTGCTGCCTGTGGCGTCGTCGCCGTCGGTGATGACTACTTCTTCGGGGTACCTGGGTTGGAGGCAGACTGCCCGTCAGCATTCCGTTCATGTAACGTGTAATAAAACGGGTTGTGTAACTGAGGGGTAGGGTATTGCATACTCGCGGGCGTCCCTAGCAGCCCTCTTCTTGAGCTCCTCCTTGTACTTGGTCGCGGCGGCGGATTGGTACTTGGTCTTGGGGTCCTTGCTGTTCAAGGCGGCGGAACCACCGTTTTGCTGGAAGAACTTGGTTGCCGACTCATTGCCTCCCACCTTCATGATCCGTAGCTGGTCCCATTGCCATTCTGTAGACGAACAATATTTCGGTTAGCGGGCGAGAGTCGCGTCGCGGGGTAGAGATCGAGAGAACACATACGGTCGAGGTTAGTAGACCGCACAAAGGAAATGTGGACGCCGAGGTTGCGGTGGTTGGCGGAGCAGTCGAGGCAGAGGTAGATGCCAAAGGGGACCGAAGTCCATGTTGGGTTCTTTTGGCCGCAGTCGAAGCAGATCTGTTGCAAGGAAGGGCAGTTAGCTTTCTGGATCTGTGGGAGCCCTTGATCGCGTGGGCGTATACCTTGTTGGCTGGCTTCGCCTTGAGCTTCTCAAAGAGCTTGAGCGACTGCTGCTTTGTCGCGAGACCGCTCATCTTGTCGGGAGTCCGGTGATCGTTCGGAGTATGTCTGTCCTTGGCAGGGTTGTGATGTGTCACTAGTTCTTGAGCGGGTGACTGTTTGTTGTTGTTGACCCCTTTGCTCGGTTAGGTTGTCAGGGTCGAAACGTGCTGCCGTCAAGGGAAAAAGTGAAAAAGGGGGCAGAAGTTGAACAGGGCGGCCTTGTAGGTTTCCGGCTTGTTACAAGTTGTCAATTATTCGAGTGTTGTTCATTCAGGAGACGGGAGCCCCAGCGGAGAGAGCCGGGCTGCCTGGCAACTGGAACGTCCACTGGGGCTTCTTTGGCTGGGGTCAGTCCACTGGACGCTGTCAGGGCAGGGGCCATATTTCTTTGCTCGCCCTTCCATGTGGCATCTTGGCGCCTTGGCATAGTCTACCTAATCCCCTTTCGGGCTAGCGCAACACGGACTCCACCCTCGCCGGACGGACCTCTACCGGGAAAGATGCCGTGCCGGCAACGGGGCACAGCACGGGGAGCTAAAGCTTCATCCAACCGCAGCTCATCACAGCTTCGGACCTCTCATTGAAGCTCTCATACAATCGCAACGGCTGAAACATTGCCGTCGAAATATGGGTGTTGTCTTGGAGCCTCCATGATGAAAATGCTCACTACTTCGGCCGGCGTGAGGCTTCTGAGCCCCGCTGCGGTCCGTCAAGCAACCATTACAGCTTCGAGAGCTCCGACGACAGCTAGCGCCATTCTCGTCTCATCGCGCCGGCAATATGCGACCACTCAAGAAACATCAAAGAGGAGATCCGTGACGCCTTTCAACGATAACGGCCATGTCCCTTGGACTCGGCTTTCGGCCGGTGAAAAAGCCGGGCGCGCCGTTCAACAAACGTTCAACTTTGGCTTGGTGATTTTGGGTGTAGTTTTGACCGTACGCTTTCCCTCCTTATGCATTTCATCACTTCCCTTAATGCTTAGTACTGACTCTGCCACAGGGAGGAATAGCCTACCTCCTCTTCACCGACGTGATCTCGCCCGAGTCCAAAACCGCCTACTTCAACCGGGCCGTCGACCGGATCCGTGCCGACCCTCGCTGCGTCGCCCTTCTTTCGCCCGGCAACCCGAAGGCAATTGCCGCTCACGGCGAAGAGACGTACAACAAGTGGCGCCGAGCGCGGCCGATCGCGGCAACGGTCGAGAAGGACAGCAGGGGAGTGGAGCATTTGAAGATGCACTTTAATGTTTGTTTTACTACTTCTTCTTCTTTCCCTGCTTTGCTGAGAAGTGGTGGTGATGATGATGCTAACTGAGAGAAAAACAGGTCGAAGGACCAAGAGGCTCCGGCGTCGTCAGACTTCATCTGACCAAGCAACCGGGACACTGGGAGCACGAATACCAGACTTTCTACGTGGATGTGAGGGGGCATCAGAGGATCTACTTGGAGAATAAGGAGGCGGAGATGGCGGCTGCTAAGAAGGGAGGGAACAAGGAGTTCAAGTTCTTGGGTGTCAAGTGGAACTGAGAAGCTTCCGTTCGCTTGTATGAATACTGTATAAGGATTGGGGTCATTCTTGCAAGGGTGGACTACGATGCAGTTGATTCTAGTTTTGCGGATTAGTTGTGTTGCTTTGACTGAAAACGTTTGCCGTTTTAAGGACGTTGGGATTATGCGTCATGGAGGTTGAGCTTCTCACAATGAATGCAAAAGGATATGAGAACAGACTTGTAAATCGGAGGACTGTTCATTATATGTCCTCCTCGCTGCTACGGATAAAGAGACCGCAGTCGCTTGTACTATAATAGTTACTTGTCCTGCCTTGCTCTGCTCCTGAAATGAGAGAGCTTCCTCAATGACCCTAACCCTTACTATTCCACCGCCTTCCAAGTCTTCCTTTGACAAGTCCAGCCACCGATCCTAAGACCAGTATCATAGTGATATTCAAATACAATAATCCTTCCTTTCTCGTCCCTCTGGCATGCTGCCGGACAAAAAGTGACCTAAGCGCCGCCCGTCATAAACAAACCCAAACGCCGCGGGTTAATGATGACCAAGGAAACACCAATAATGCTACACCAGAAAACCAATCACCGTTTCCTTTTCGCTTCGTGAACATCACGTTTTTCCTTTCGCCCTTTTCCCCTCTTTGATGAGTAACCCTTACGCCCAGTCAAACGGTTTTCTCGACTTTGTTTCTTGTCGCTACCGTGGGCAAAATCTTGGTTAGATCGGGATCGATCCGACCGAGGGAACGATGGCAGTCGTACCCATGTGCGCGCCATTGATCCGAAAGATTCCTCTCAGCTTTATCTCAACAACTTCCTCCGCAACCATGATAAGTTCGGCCGTTTTGCGCTTTGGTGAAGGAGCCCATTTGGACAACTTCGCAGAGACTAGTTAGATCCCTCTTGGCCCTCCATCTTGGCAATCCACTTGGGCATTTGCGAGTACTTCTCCTCGAATGTTTTCTGGAGCCTCTCGCAGGCCTGCCACATGGGGCTCTTCTTGGCCCAGTACGTGTAGCAGTTGTTGAAAATCTGGTTCATGTCGGCGAGGAACTCGTTCTCGTCGGTGTACTCGTTGCGGTCCATCTTGGCTCTCATTGTCTGCAGGTCCATGGGCTTGGCCACTTTATCGAAGTAGTCGGGCACACCGTCGGATTCGGGGTTAACGGGATCGCGGAAGGGGCCAACAAGGCGGGTCCAGAAGCCTGTGAGCGAATGAGGGTCAGTAAATGGTCATGCTGCCAAAAAGGCGGGAAATGACATAGGAGAGACAATTACCTGGGCCGCTGAGCATCCTAGTCAGGAGGTCGTCGCAGAACGCCAGCTTCTTCGAGGTGGTAAGCTCAACCTCCCCATTAGCCACATTGTACTTCCTCTTGTAACCGGCCTTTGGACCAGTAGTGCTGGGCCGACCGGGTCCCTTGCGGCCGGTAGGCGTGGCCTTAGCACCGTTGGTACCAGCGTCAGAGTACCTGGCCTTCTTAGCAGGACGCACCTGCTCGCCATCACTATTGGCGACGGCATCGTGCCAGCCTTGATGGGCAGAGTTAACGACTTCCTGAGAGACAGGCGGGGTGGGGGTTGCTGCCGGGGCCGGAGTTGCATCCAGCGAGCTCATAGCGACTACCAGCTCACTCAGAACTCCTTGGGGCAGCGCCTTGGCGAACTCTGCACGATCTTCAGAGGCCCGCATGTATTCGGCAGCCCAGGAAAGCAAGAGCTTCCGGATGGAGGATCCCTCGGGGGTGTCGTTCCACACCTGGACTAGAAGAGCGGTGGCGGGGATCGAGTTTGTGAGCCGGCGGTATTCGATCATAGCATCGATCGTGGCATCGCAGAGGCCGTCGATGCCCAAGCTGTGTCCAAGCTTCCAAACGCCGATAAGAACCTCGTATTCGGGAGGCGTGTCAGGGTAAACCTGGCCTGTGAAGAGATAGTGCTGGGTGTAACCGAAGACATCGACCGAGGTATCGCGGAGCTCGACTACGTCCTCGACCGACTCGTTGTTTGCCGCCTTTTCTCTAAAATAGCGCCTGTAGTAGGAGGACTTGGCACAGAGAAAGTCCTTTTGGATACCGAAAGGCATGCCCTCGGGGCCGACCATGATGATAACGAAAAGAGCGTGTGATTGACTGGAGCCAAGATAAGTGTTAGTGTCCGCTTTGCGTTGTGTCTGCTTCAACTCGACTTACAGCCATGAGAATGGAGGCTCGTCAACGGATTCGACTGGCGAACGGGATGCTTCTTGTTTCACAGCTTCGGCGATGCTAGCTGCCTTGTTGTCGGTTTCAGTAGTGGCCTTATCATTGTGGCCATCGTGTGTCTCGTTGATTTTCGCGTCGTTGTCGACGCCGTTCACATCGTCGGATGTATCATTGAGGGCGCCATTCATTCCTGAGATATTCTCTGGACATAGAAGTTAGCATTCGGAACTGAATAACCAAAAACAGCCTTTTGGAATTGACCAAAAATGAGACAAAGACCTAACATCGCGTCCGGTGCAAGGCGACGCAGTGAGCTTGAAGGTGGGAAAAGACTTACCAAGAACAGATCTGGCAAGATCTTGACAGGCAGTAGGTGAGGCACTCATGTCTGTCGAATTCCCCTGAAGAGAGGGAGTTGTAGGTCTTGATTTAACTCGGGGACAGGAAGTGTCCGCAAGTCGGACGGTGAAAGATTGAGACCAGGCCTAAGCAAGGGCGAGGTCCCTCTCAAATGATAGAAGGGTAGGGTGCGTGGATTGGGTTTGAATGAGCCCGGGGCATCTGCGTGGTGATGCTTGGTGTCCCGAGTTCGTGTTGTAATGATGGTGATGAATTTGGTTGATGGAAGAAGGGGAAAGGGTTGAACGGAGTTTAAAAAGTCGAAAATCGAAATTCGGAGCATCAACTCAAGTGAATGTAAGAGCGCGGACCTGAGCTTGAACCTTGAGCTCCCGCAGAAGTGAAGGCTCAAAGTGTTGTAGGCCACATTGGCCAATCGTGTCTCCTGTTTTGGCCCCACCCAGAGTATGGTCAGTGCTTTCCGTGCTCCCTTCCCTCATGATCTTGTGGTGCACAGACCACAATGTCCTGCCAACCGCTTCCAATTGGGCGACCCCTTCGAACCTCGACCGATTCCGTCACTTCACCCGCCGGCTGTATCGCCCATTCACCCCAACTTCACCTGGGCTTCTTCACCTCTTTTTCTTCCACTTTCATTCCGTTTGTTTGCTGCTCAGGTTCAAGTGGCTAATACACGAATGACCATCTTCTCATTATTTCCTCTTCACTTTCATCCTTCAATCCTGCAAATTACTCGGGCATGCTGGCCAAACAAGCCCACGCTTGTGCAATGACGCAGCACAGGCAACAGTGTCCCGCCCCGCAGTGCTCCTTTCTCCGGTTCTCCCACCGACACTCCCTCCAACAACACCGGCTCCCAATCTATTCCGCCGCTCTTCTTTCGGCATCTCAGGGCCTCTTCATCATAAACTAGTAAACATCAGTTGTTTTGAGCATTCAGGCTGACTTGTCAATATCGCAGAACACTCGTCGCTTTGTGAGGTGACAGGCACCCCTCAATCGGGGGACTTCGTCTCTCAACCTCAAGACAACCACTGATGGATGTCTGTTCCACCATGATCTCAAACACTGCATTTGGCTCGAGATAGCAGTAACGCATTTCAACATTATTTCGGTCCGCATGTCATTATTCACACTTTCCCCCTTTCTCGTTTCGCCGAGTGATGCGTCATCGACCATCTACGCCATCACCGCGCGAACTGCATCAGGACTTGGCACGCTCAACACACCATTCCGTGAACTTCACCGCGACCGATTATCTATTTCATTCGCTATATCTTTCGACCCTCCTCGAAAGCTGTTACATCGGCAGTAACCCGCGCAAAATGTCGGCCACGATGCTGCACGTCGACCTCACCCGCATAGCCGTTCAGACTTCGACATCACCACTTCCGCTGGACATCTGACGATCCAAACGCTGTGGTTGAAAAGCCAATCTCCGGGACGACCATTCAACAACAAGATCAAGGGCGTGTGGCTCAGTTGGTAGAGCGTTCGCTTAGCATGTTTCCGAGCATGCGAAAGGTCCTGGGTTCGATTCCCAGCTCGTCCACTTCTCGATCATCTTCATCTCCACTTTCCGGGCGTGTGGCTCAGTTGGTAGAGCGTTCGCTTAGCATACTCATCTGTATGCGAAAGGTCCTGGGTTCGATTCCCAGCTCGTCCAAAATCGGCGATGAGATGATTTGAGGTTATCTTTTTGATCATGTTTGGATCGCCTGATTTTTTGCTCTTCTCGGTGCGCGGTGATCTTCTTACTCCCGGAGTGACAGTTTGTTATTTTCCCATGGTTTGTGAGGAAGAATGGTCCGAATCCTTTTTTGAGAATTTGCTTTAACACACTATCAGTTCGCCTGTTTTCGAATCGGCATTTGTAAGACATGAACTTTTTCATGTTCCTTGACACAACGAACGTTGGGCTAGTGTCTAGGGTTCTGGAAAATGTCAACGAGCCGGTTCAAATAAGTTTGACATTCGCAAGTATAGCCGCTCGAAGTCGGGACCTCAAATCTTTTCAAGCATGTCGCTCTGTCCTCGATCTATGGGCTCACTCACCCTCTCCTTTCACAGGTGAAACATACAGTGTTAATTGCAGACGAGCTAAAAGAACATGCGCGAGGTACACATTGTCACAAAACCATACCGGAACTTGATGGACAACATATCCTACTTCTCCATCCGTATTGCTACTTCCTCAATCGCTAACCCAAAGCTTCAACAGGTTCAGGTGACTTCCTAACCAGCCATTCCGATACACCCAGCAGGCAAGAAGACATTTGCTCCGTATCCAAACCTCCACAACGCTCAGATGATCCCCAAGTTGGCAATCACCCACTTAGCTACTATCACAGTTGGTAGCCCTGTTGCTCAAGCACTGATTAAGACAGGTACCTCCAACCAAGGTATCGCGCGTCTGGCCCGACACCAACACCTCCCCCTTCGAATTTGTCGCGACACACGCATCCATAACCTTGTTCGCGGCGTACCGCAGCGCCGGGGAGCGCGCGTTGTCGATAACTTTGCCCCAGCTGATGCAGCACGTGACGCCGGCGACGTTGTAGCAGGTCGACCGCGGGCTTTCGGGAATCTGGGTGTCGGGCAGGTTGTCGATCAGCGTCCTGCAGACGGAGGTGAAGGATTGGTGGATGTTGCTGCATTGGGGAAGGGCGCTGCCGCAGCGCTTGTGAAGCGGCTTGCTGGACGGGACATCGGCATCGACTGATCGCTTGGTGAAGGCTGGGTCTTCGCCGTACCTGGTTATGTAGGGGGAGGTTAGTGAAGTTCATCTCGTAGAGGTGGATGGGTAGGATGATTCAAGGCTTGACGGCGGTGAGACAACGGGGCGGCAGACGGGAGACGACTTACCAGGTGAGAGTACCGTTGGCAAATTCAGTTTGCTGGATGACAATGAGGCCTTCCTCGGGAGCTGGAGCGGAGAGCGGCGAAGCCGAGACAATGGCAGCCAGGAAGGCGCCGAAGGTGAGATACTTCTTGGAGAGCATGTTGATGGTGGTTCGTGAACAAGTGTTCTGCTCTTTTGTTAGCTTCCACTTCCAGTTTCACGAGCTACGACTCCCATTGAAAGGGCTTGGTTGATCGTACCGATTCGAGAAGGTTGGGGAAATAAAGCAAAAGACGAGGGATGGTCTTGGTGATTATTCTTGTTCCTGTTGCTGCTGCTGCTGACATATTCTGGTGACAAAGTCAGGACATCGCCGGCCTTTATACCCAACTCTCCAACCTCGTTCACGATCTTCATGCTCTCGACTCGGGTCGTTAGCTTCAAGCTGCAGGCATACTCGGACCTGGCAACATCCGCATCATCAGTTCCCTACTCACCCTGCCTCGCTTGACAGTTCTCAGCTCCGCTTCCAGACTTCCGTGCAGTGCCCATCCAATAAATATATTTGTGCTGTGTCACTGTCCATGGTGTCTCCATCGCCAACTGCAGTACGCTAGTTGCCAATGGCAGAATCTTTCCATGAATGAAGAGCTCTAGCTCTCAATTTAAGGTAGACAAGCTTTGACAAGCTTTTCGAGGCTGTGATTGAGTTGCATCGAAGCATCGAAGCATCTGCCGTACTATCCGGATCCCACGCAAAAGAGCTTTTTGGGGGCCAAAATTCTTCTTGATGTCAACTTCGACGATATTTTACAACTATACGCAAGGGCTTTCATTCAGAAGATACGTTACTCTTACAGGCTTTTAGCGCCAACCACCCGCTGTAGGATAGCAATAGCGTCAAGCAGCGAGTGCACTGAGATCCCAAAAGGCAGGTAGGATTGTAAGAGAGCTCTCGACCACTTAGAATAATGAACTATGTAATAAGGCTGTAAGGCTAAATGCCAAGAATCCATGTATGAGCGAACGGCAATGGTAATTAGTGGACGGCTGTGCAAATGACCGAAATTTCTGGGACCAGACCGCACCCGAGAGTCTGAAAGACGATGCTTCAGTTATGACCAGAGTGAAAAGATAGATTGTGGCATACTTGAGAAAAGGGAGAAACTGCGTGCCAGGCCACTCTGAAGATTGAAACTCTGGACGGGGTGCACCTTCCTCCTGCGACAACTGGACCTGCCCTGGGTATAGGCGGAGAACTGAATGAAGAAGTCATCATTGGCAACGGAACAGACAGGCTCCTTTTCAAGTCGTTGTTTCAATCAAATTCATTGTATGAACAAAAAGAGACATAGGGTTTGCCAACGTCAAATCTTACAATGCCACTTCTTTCTTGCAGCCTCCGCATCACCGCCGCCGGCTACTTTGCTCCGGAATAATAAAAGAAGAACAAGAAGGACAAGCAAAACGGAAGCAAAAAGATGCAAAGAAAAAAGGGAAGCGAAAAAAACATACAACACCAGGGATTCGCTGGTCGTCACCGACCCAACTACTAGTCTGGCCCTCACGAGCTTATCTATGGGAGAGCGGACGGGATCCCGAGTTTTCCAGTGGGTATGGTCGTATGTGCTTGAGTCAGGCAAAAAAGTAGATTATATGGAAATTTGCATTGGTGGAAACACCCACCATCGAAATTGACCGAAAAAAAAAAGAAGTAGTAACATAAGAATGAATGAGCATACAAATGAAGACGACACGAATGACGACCGTGGCTTTATGAATATTTCGTGAAGGATAATAAATCCATGGAAATACTATTCGTATCAACGTGAAACGCCAGTTCATACTCACGTAAAGGAGAAAGTACCGATACATAGATCCAAACCCTCACTTGAAACTGTACTTCCGGTAGGCATCTGTAAGTTTCCGCGTTTCTTCTAAGACTTTCCCCGGTGCAGCATTTGAGTGACAAGGTTAGTGATCGTAGACAGGATTGGTTCGATGAGGCTGCTCGGCGGCTTTGCCGTAGAAATACCGGCGCAACCAAGGATATTCATTCCAGATAAGGCGAGCTGCAGAATCGGCGGGGAAATCTGCCTCTTCTCCATGCAACTAAGGTTGTAGGGTGGGATTGACGACTTCTCCGAGAGGATATGTAGTGTCGATATTGTATACCGAACAGAATGGACCTGATATCGCAGTCAATCCCGATGAGACAGGGCCTTGAAAGCCACCCGACTGAGGAAGGCCCTCACCAACAAGTAATCTCCCAAAGTATGGTAGGGGCTCCCAAGTTCAGAAAGATCTGATCATTCCGAGGTGGAGTAGCAGGGGAGACTGTGAGCGCCAATATCACAATGTGTTTAAACCCGCCTCACTTGTGTACTAGACAGTATGCCATAGTACGTATCGCTCCCCTCACTCGAAGCTAGTATGCTTCAAGGGTTGTAGCTTTTAGGTAACTGGCATGTTTGAACCCGGAGATTGTGCCATACATGAGGATAACTGCATGATCCGGTACATATTTGCAACGTCAATGCAGTTGAATACAACGACGAACTGTCCTCTGGCCATATTGCCAAGGTATGGATGAGGCCAGCCAGGCCAGAAACATTTCCCCGACGTTGCAAAGTGACAAGCGCGCTTGCGTTTAGACGGCAGATCACAGCCGTTATCCGAGCAGGCGCTAGTGGCAATAGCTGCCAACTAGGTACTAGCGGAGAGGGTCTAGTACATGAACAGGGCCGACTGCCACTCGGGCCGAAGTTCCATGCTACGGACGCTTCTCTCCTTGACGAGAACCATGGTTCTAGACTTCCCCACACGCTTCACTGAAAGCAAGGGTTTAGTATAGGGTATGCCAATCTGACAATTAACAGTCTGATTCGTGCTCAGGGGGTGCCAGGTTCGAATCGCGTTGAGGGCGCGAGTTTTTCGACCGAAACTCCCACTCAAATGGACATGCCTATCCACGTAAAGAAACCCCAATAGGGTCCCCGAGGGGTTGTCATTGCCAGCTTCCAGCACAAATGTTGTTTAGCTGGGGGGGTGTGTCAGATTATAGGTTGGCTGATTGAGCCACTACTCCGACAAGTTCGGAGCTCCAGTTTTGCCAGTTTGGTGTAGTGGTGCCAATCTGACACGTGCGAGGCAAACTCGGCGATACAACCATGTGGGTTGCAGAGGACGGACGGACAAGGACAAGGAACCGAGGAGGAGCGGGTTGACCCGCCGAAGAAAGAGCCGCTAACCGAGTGGTCCTCAGTGTGCGCGGATAATCCTAAACGGGCGCGAGCTACGCCTCGCCTATAACCGATGGCGGGGAAGGGGTGGGAGGAAACGTGTTGTGTAGAGGAGCTTTGACATTGGTGTTTCTCCTGTCCCTGGTTTTATCCTCCTCAGTGTGTCATGACATATCAACCGCGCTTTGACTCCCAGTTTCTGGACGCAGCTCGACGAATTTGGTTGTTTCGTGATAATAGAATAAAATGATTAGCAATGGTTGGTGATTGAAGACCTTGGCACGGAAAGCCGAGACACCCAGCTTGCTATAGTTGATATAGCCTTGTCCCGGACCGTGGACGTACAATATCACGGCAATAAAGAACCACTGATATAGATTGAGTCTCAACAGCTATCCCATCGTGTTTGGAGTTTGAGCAGACAGCTGTGCCTTGACGTCACTGCCGATAAGAAAAGGGGGGAAGCAGGGTGAAAGGAAGCATCTAAAAGAGGAACGATAGGGGGAAACAAGGGGTGCAAACAAGATAATCTAAGGGTCGGCCACTTGTGCCTTGTCTGGCCGTTCACACTGGTAAGATTTACCCGTACCCCCGGACGATCAGGGACGTAATGGACAGCAGATAGCCTCTTGGAAGCTGTCTGGGTACCTCTAGATCGGGGCACGTTATCGTAGGAACAATCCCTCTATGTCTGTGCCAGGACGCGGCGTCACCCGTCCAGAGCCCATTCGTTGATCGGATGATGGCCCGATCGAAGACAGGATTTTGGGAGGATCGGATGTGACATTGCGTCTGCACCCGATGATAGCGATAAGCCACGATAACGCTGTAAGACAAGGTCTTTTCGTTTTCCCACCCGTCTCACAGAAGCCCTTTTGTAGAGGTTGAGGTATAGTCGAAAGATAACCTGTCCACGTTGGCACAGAGCCACTCGCTGCCCAACTGATCAACTGTCTGGTGCCCAGCTTTGAAGACTTGCGCGGTGGAGGCCAGAAGGGAACATGGCATCTCCTTCTATCCTCCTAGTTTGCGACCCAGGAATCGATCGATAGCAAAGTAGTATCATGGGTGGTGTGCAGGACATTCCGGGCAGGCCTGATTCGGCACTGGAGGCGCATTGATGATACTCTCCCTAAGCGAGCAAGGTGTTTGTTGCGTAGAGTGAATCAGGGAAACATAGCCGAAGAGTAAGCGAGGCCCCCAACTCAGGCACCCGTGGATCGCTTGATTGTTCGTATGGTTTGAGGTGTCTGTTGGTCGTTCAGTGCCGTTCCTGAAAGTGGCGTTTCCCCATAGTAAATGCAAGCCTCTTCATATCGATCCCTTTTCCGGGGCTTTTAACCAAGATGAATTGGCGGCATGTTGGTGACGGCGGATGAGGGTGGCTGATCACCCTCTCTATATGGAAACGTCGAGACCAGTCGATAGCCCAGGGTCCACGGGCGCCGCAAGACCACACCGGGGAAGCAGGAACAACACGTCCGGCGACTCAGGAAGCACGAGATATAATTGACTGTATTATCTTGCTGACAACGTTATATTGAGGTTATCTTTGGTCGTTCAGCAATTTGGGCGCGAGTTCCAGTGACGCGTGGCTGATCCGGTAACTGTTGGATTTTGTGTTAGCAAGGGAGGAATGTTATTGTAGAGAGCTTCAGATCCCGGACTACCTCTTACGTCTTTCCGCCTTGTTGTGGTATTGGAAGAGGCACTGACCGAACTGCTGGAGACTTGGAATGGAAGCCAAGCAACGCAAAGACAACGTGAAAGGGTTGCAACCGTGACACCCAAGCAAAGAGGCAACAGAGGAACTTCCTTGGGAGAGATACCTTCCTGTCTAGTAGACGCTCCGTCGGTTGATATCGAACTGAACTGGAAACTGTGATGGGGTGGAAAGACGGGTGCGCATCCGTGGTCCAACGTCCGTTCGCTCCAGTCCAGTGCAGTCCAGTCCGCTGTTGAGATTCGCCTCACTGCCCCTTAATTCATTTTGCGGCGCAGACTGCTCCTTCCATGGTGGTGCTTTGACAGCATTTTGGCCCCAAGGGCAAGAGGCGTCGTGTGTAAAAACAGAAGGGGGAGATGTGGTTGATTGTGGGGTTACACCTTCCCCAGTCTAGAATTTGCGCTAAACTCAGATACCCCGTGGGGCGTGGGGGTTGGTCTCTTGTCTCCGCAGTGGGGCATCGCTGTCACAACTCACAACAGGCAGGAGCGGGAACAATCTCATCATCGATGGACTCAATCTCAGACTCACTGTATCGTAACAATCATCCCGAAATAACTTTTAATTTCTCTGAATATTACGGGCTACCATGGTTGAGCATCGAGAGCGTTGATTACTTCTCTGTTGAGCAAGTAAATGTTCACATGCCCTGGTTGACCTTTGTCAAACCCCGTGGACGCCCGATACGGGACGGGTCTTTCTGTAACTCTGAAACAGGAATCTTTCAAACCTTCTCTCCCCTCGTCACTTCGTGATCGACCTCATCTGGCCCGGATGCTCTGTGGACCCTGGGGAGATCGATTGCATCACCGGCGTCACTGCCACTGCATGCATCGTATCATTTCAGTCCATTCCTTGGCAGACACTCGTCGATTCCATTCGTTACATTCGCCCGATTACTCTTCAGAACTCGTTACCCAACCATTTACCCAACCATTTACCCAAACAGCACTTTTCAGGCTGCCTCAGTTACAGTCCAAAACACCAACCGACGAGTTGCGGTGAGCCCACACAGAGAGGATCGTATGTCCCATTTTCGAGATCTGCTGATGCGATGCGATGCGGCGCATGCCGAGAGCTAGTCTAATACAGAGAGGGGATGATGCACAAACATGGCATAAGATTGGCCTTCAAACCCCTGACTGTTTCGAACGTCGAATGCCCTCCTTTACACTTTTCCTTGTAAATGTTCCTTTTCGAGCTGTTTCTCCTCAAACTCCAGAGGATAATCACCCAACATCAACCTCCTGTCTCCAATATGATATCACCAAGACAGCTGCTCAACGCTGGCCAACCAAGGTAACCAACGAATTCTCTTCGACTGCCCTCAATTTACGCTTTGCGCAGCGGCGCTGTCCAGGTCCCATCTCATTGCTTATCACCCATTCTACCCCAGGCTGTGCCCCGGACTTTCTCTCACCCCGCAATCTCAAGAGCCAAGACCAGATAAACACTCGGATTAGACACCCCCCGATCGCTGATCAAATAAGGGGTAGGCATTCAGGGCAGTTTCAGTGGATGAGTGGCTAAGAAAAGAGAACAATCCAGCCCAGCCACACAAGAGAAACGGAATGTCAACGAAAGCTGACATGATACACAATTACACATCATCCATTGTTACTTGTTACAAACCTATGAGTAACACACAATGGCCTCCGGTTTGCTCCGGTCCTTTTTGCACAGCCGTCTAGGAGATGTTGTCACTGCGAGATAAGGCCAGTGAGGTTGAGAAGATTCACTCCGCAATCGGCCTGGGTGCCTGTTTCAAAAATGAGGACACCATCTCCCAGCAAGTGTTGAAGGCAGAGATGGTGGTGTCCCCATTCGGGACCCCCGTATTACTACTCGGCATTGTCACCATTTTCCATCTTGGAGGTTGTCATGCCAAGGGGGCCCCAAGGACAACCAAGGACTACGAACCACAAACGGGAACCACAGCTTTACGTACTGCCGCGAAAGCTGCGCCTCGCCCTCCCATGCGCTGGGCCACATCTCACAGATCCCCACGGGGATAACCGATCAAAGCAGGGCACGAATTTCCTTGGTTTTCGGTCTGCCGGGGTCATTGGCATCGTTTCCGGCCTCGTCGTCGTCAGCTCCAAGAGGCGCGGAGGTTCGGTGCGCAGTGCTTGCGTTTGGTGTGTGATTTCAGAAATAAACCTTCTCTTAAAATCCTACTTACTAAGTTAAGTTAGTCCCTTCAGTTCTTTTTTTCTTCCACAGTTTCACTGTAACGGCATTACCTTAAGTAAAAAAAATAATTTGGGGTAACCCAGAAGACTTCGCTTGAAAGTTGCAACGTAATGCCTCGCTAACTAACCCGCTCAAACAGCAAGACTAAGCGAAAGCCAAGCTCACATTACGCAGTGCTCACCTAATTCGCTAAACCGAAACTGTCAAAGTGTCGGAGGGGCAAACCGCCTTACCTTAGCTCAGTTTCTTGTGTACCTACTCCTACTCGGAGTCAGTCATTGAAGAGCCTAGCGTACATTCCATCGAAGAAGCCATCGATTGCGCAGTATCCATGTATTAGCAAACCTCACCCTCCTCTCGGGTACACTTTCCCACCCTGGGCTATATACCTGTTTGGCACCCGCGCCCAGGCCATCCCGAGGACTTGCCAAGATTGAACTATCGATAAAAAACCCGCGCGCAGCTGAAGACGCCGCCGGTCGGGTCACCCGGGCTACTCGGGTCACTCGGGTCTCCGTCCTTACATACTTGGGTCGGTCACTCGTATCATATACGTAGATGAACGTATGGGGTGTATCGGGTCGGAACCATCCTCCGGCTGATCACTCACTCACTCACTCACTGATCGCACACACACACACACACACCCACGCACTCGAGATGGATGAGCCAGCCAGCGGCTACCGAAACACAACTAATACCTGATGTTCTGTCTGTCTGATGATGCCCGTTAACGACAACCTAAAACGGATCGGAAAATCAAGAAAAAGAAAGAAGTGATGTGCCGCCAACGTTATCTGACTCCCTCTCTATACTGTACAGACCTGCCAGAGTTACTGCACCACACCAGCCTTCCAAGCCAAAAGGTCAAATCTGGGTACGGCATACTCACAAGACTGTACTTAGCGTGGGGGGGAGGCATCAGTCATTGGTCCCATGGCCTCCATGGTTCCTCATTCATGCCGGGCTGTTGGGTGTCAGATGAGTCTTTGAATGCCACTAGTGGTGTGCGGGATGGTGTGTGGTGTTGATCAGCTAAAAAGCTAAAAAAGTTGGGGTAGAAAGTACGGGGTAAAGTAAAAAAAGAGTAACGTTTCGGATGGGGAGGAGGGGATGGGGAGGGGAAGGGAAAAGCTGAATTCGTTGCTGCCCGCCAGCCCGCCCCGACTTTTTCGTAACCCCGGACTGGAGTGGGTGTGTCTGTGTCACACGGTTGATGGAATTGAGACACAGTTCGGGAGACACACTCGCGCACACAGACTGATTTTCAATGGCATGATAGTTTACCTTGCACCAATATAGAATAGGAGGAAAGATTACTGTGATGATAATCATCAATCGGTAGTGATATGATACACACCGCTTCGAAGGCGAAAGGGGCATTTATCAAAACAAGATCAAACATCACCCATGTGAGCAAGTGGAAAAAGGACTGTTGTTCGAGTAAACGCGGGTGCAATACCCTAAAGTAAGCTAGTGTATTGCTTGTTTGCTTTGATCACCCTGTTGTTTACCAGACGCACTAAAGATTACACTCCGACCACGTTCATGTCCCCAAATCTTGAACCGTTTTGATGACAAAATGAAGAAGAGAGTCTCTCTCGTTTTGAATTCCTGCCTGCCTGTCTGCCATGACCAGAGGAGAGATGGGAGATGGTATGATGAAGCCAAATCTATTCGGTCGCAAGAAAAACACGCCAATCAATATGATGAAACACAGATGTAGAAAGGAAATATTTCCTGATTCCAAAAGCAGATGTATGCCTCCCCAATTCTATAATGTTCCCAGTAGTCCATAACCAATTAAAAAAAAGATTTCGCTGTGCCGACTGTCCGGTTTCCAATGCCATTCGCCCGCTAGCAAGAGCCCAACCAAATGATCAAAGGCTCTCTATGCAAGCCATACTCCACCGCCAGCTCCTAGCCAAGAACCAGTGGCAACCCAAAATATGATGAGAGGAATCGACCCATTGAACGCCAAACTTTGTATCCTTCTATATCGTCCCGCTAGTTCCCGCTAGTTGTTGTCATTCGTCGTTATCGAACAAGTTCCAGAAGCCAAGGTTGTTCGCTGATGTTGCTTTATAACCTGTCCATCATCTCCGCTCCAGAGAGGCTGGTAGAAGAAGAGCTCCTGATAAACCCATCGGCTGGCCCAAGCAAATCCTGGACGGCAACTTTCGGCACAGGAAGTTTCCTTTGAGTGCCATCAGGTCGGCTGATGATGTCGGTCAAGGACATGCCACTGCTCCTGGACGCAGCGGGAGGAGTCTGAGTAAGCGAGAACTGCCCATCAAGAGCGGGCTCGAGAGGAGCCAGCGCTGGCGTCGTGTGCTGCTGGCCCAGGGAGAGATTCCTGAAAGGGGGTAGCTCAAGGCCAGGATGAGGGCGCAGACGAGGCGAGTGAGCAGGAGTAGCGAGTGGTGTGTGATCGGGAGTGGGCGATAGCGAATCGTGAGAGAATGTTGGGGAAGAAGGTGCTGTCGAGTTGGGCGAGTTGGGTCTCGACCTCTTGGCATGCCTGTAGGACTGGCCATAGTGGTCGTCGTGATCCTCGTGGGAGTGCGACCTGGACATGTGATAAGCCTGGAGCCCAGGGAGCTGATTCCTGGAAGCCGCAGCGGCATGCAGAGTGTTTCCGTAGAACTGGAATCGTGGCTGAAATTGATGATGACCGGCGCCGTCCCGCTCAACTTGTCCGGCGGCCCTCGCGAGGAGCGAGATATCAGGGCCACTTTGGCTGCCGGCGGAGCTACGGGAATGGCTATAGGGGTTGAGACCCGAGGGAGCAAAGTTGTAAGGGCTGTAAGAGTGGTGAGGGGGTGACACGTTGGGAGAGGACATGGAGGAAGGGGGAGCAGAGCGGATAGCCTTGGGGCCGGGAGGAGGCATCATGTCGGGCTGCAACCCGTGACTGTGAACAAGGGGATGCTGCTGCTGCTGCTGGCCCTTGTTTCCCCTCCGCGAGTTAGGATTGCTGTGTATCCTCGAGTGCCGAGTCAGCTCGTCCGAACGCGAGAACTTCTTGCTACACCCCGGGAACTGGCACGCGTGCGGCTTCTCTCCTGTGTGTGTGCGAATGTGTCTTGTCTGATGCTCCAGGCGGTGGAAAGCCTTGTCGCACAGGGGGCACTTGTAAGGCCGTGGGAGCTCGTTGGCGGGCTCAGTGGGTTGGGCACCAGGCAGGGGCCCGTTGGGGCGCAACAAACCGACTGTCGCCATGTCTGCTTCGGGCTGTGGTTGTTGTGGTTGTGCGGCTTGTTGTCTTGGGGAGCCGCTGTGATCTCTCTTCTCTGCCGTTGATTCCGATGGATTCAGAAGATTGGAAAAATCTACTGCTGACTGTACGCGTTGCATGTGATCCGCCTCCTCTTGGGACCTAGTTGTCCCAATTAACGTCCTGGAGATGTGGTGTTTTGTGATTTTCCGATTGAGCTATTGCGCTCGCTTGCGTGCAGCTGCAGGAGTAGAGGTGAGGGAAAAGTTCGCCAAAGGTTCTTGACAGAAATCCCTCTTTTTCCTCCTCGCTCGTTTTCGCTAGGTTGTTGTTTGCTGCGCCGAAGACTCCGAAATCCGGAAGTAAAATTTTTGACGATGGTGTTGTCAAGGGATCGCAGATCGGTGTGTTGTTGTGGAGATCGGAGCAGGTGCTTTGTTGGTTCGTATGTCGTGTTGTGTTGTCTTCCTTGATGAGGTCAAGTGCTGTCTGTGGTGCAGGCGCGGGTTGGATGCGATGTGGGTGATTGTTGGGGAACGTTGAGTGGTATGGGGAAGTAGTGACGAAAAACGGCGGGAAGAGATTATTTGGGGGAGCCGCACTGGTTTAAATGGGGGATGGGCGGTCTGACAGCCGGACTGGGGCAACAGGCGGGCATGTGTGGACAGTGGGACAGGGCAGTGGGACGGCCAGTGGACAGGACAGGCCAGTGAGGGTGTGGAGTGGGCGGGTGGGCGTAGCAACGACTCAGCGAGGCAGGAACGGGCACCTTGAGGACGGGCACAGATTCGCTTCGCGGGCAGAAACAGGCCAGAGGACTGGCGACTGGGCTGGAGGGATGCCAGGGGGAAGAAGGGGAACCTGGAAGGTGTAGGTGCCACAGTGGAGGGGGATCTGAGCTGTTGTAATCGTACCCGTACGGGGTAATATTTCAGAGACACGAAAGATTGTAAATACGTAACTGACAACCCTCTCCACCAACACTGCTCGCTGCTAGCCGCTTCGGGTAATGCACAACCCAACGCGAACCTCATACACTCCCAGATATTAAACATAAGTTCAGCACATCTAGATCACGCTTCTTCGACATGTGTTCCTACGTCGAGTCTGCTTGGAGAATGCAATGGAGAAGGCTTATACATATGCAATCGTACGTGTACAATACGATACGCAGCATTGAGTGCCACGCTGGAGTAACTTTATCACCTTGTAACCTTGCTCGCCTTTCCTGCAGCCCGCCCCTCCAGACCTCCACGGGGGGGGGCTGTTGCAAATTTGGCCGGTGTCGGGTGTTTAGGAAGGCGCGGCAGGGTAGCGCTGGGGTACGTAGGTGAGTACTTACATGACCCGACCCTATTATTAAAATTTCCTAACCTAAGTGGATACGCCAAGACGACCCTATACTATGAAAAATCTTTTATCCAACTCTCGCTCCCTTAATATTTTCTTTCCCTGTAGAAAAATAATTAATCGCTTGCTCAAAGTTCCCTATAGAGAAATAATATGATTCGCGTTTTTCAATATTCCTTTTAAATACTAATAATTGCATATCTAAATACGATTATAAACTGACTACGACCGATATCTCTTCGTTGTATACGAATAGTTCGTAAATTATTTTTAATATATCCTTAAATTATCTTCGTAAAATGGCTAATAATAATATTACTAACGCCGATACCTTAGTTATTATTACTAGGTTCGGCTTAATTAAATGGAATAATATAGTTTTTACTAAATTATTAACGACATTTGACTTGGAATAAGTAGATAGTATAGCGGCCGAATTTAATAAGTTAGAGGAGTTGAAGGATATAATCCTTTTTAATATATCGATGCTAACTGACTTCCTAATAAGTGGACGAATATAATACTACACGATCGTAATTATATTTCCTATAAATTAATAATATAATATATTAATTATTTAAAGGTCGAACCTATGGGCCTAATATTTATTTTATCCGATAATATTAGTTAATATTCTAATTTTATTTAAATAACATATTATATTATAGCTATTTTTAAATACCCAGAATCTTCTATTAATAGCGTAGCCTACGTTATATATATTAAAGATTTAAATGAAGCATAAGTTCAAGCATTGTAGTAGGAAGTATATAAAAAGGTTATTTTTAAATAAATATTTGTATAGATAATTCTAATAATTAATTTACAATAGTATAGATTTAATATTATATCTAACGGAAAATGCCTATTAAGAATACTTCGTTAAATTATTTGAATAACGCTATATGCTATTATTTTACATTCAAATATAGTAGTATTAGATGTTATAAATATTTAGACCTGCGAATTTTATAAATTTACTAATAAGGCTCTACCCCTATAATCGATAAGGAAGTTATAAATTTTTTATTTAAAATTCGCTTTTAATAAAATGAAGTCCTATTAATTAGGCGAATTATTAAGTATGAACTTATCCCAATATATCCGTGATTTATTATGCCTAAATTATTTTCTGTATTATTTTAATTTAATTTAAGATAATTATTTTCGATTAATATTATTTCAATAAATAATTGGGTATAGGCGATTAGGAAGCGTTGGGAGATATATAGTTATAAAGAAACGAAAGCGTTGTATAAGTTCGTTTGGTATATATTGAAGGTAGATATTTATTTACGATATATCCCTAATAAATCTGTATTATATTTGATATTTATATTTATTTAGATATTAATCAGCTATAATCGCTATTATTTGAAGTATTAGATTTCGAAGATTGGAAAGTATATATACTTCTTCTATTTCGTCCTTAATAACCTTTATTAATATTGGCTATATATTAAATTAATTATTAAAGGCTATTCGAAACATTCTATATTTAATTTATTACGTATTAAAATGTGTGTTGAAGTAAGATTTAGATTATTAAAAAAGTTGCGCTATAGTAAGTAGATTCTTATTTAATATATTTAGGACTATTTATAATTTATTATTAATAAATTAGAAATTGATTACGTTTAAGGCTATAGTACTATAACGATTCGATTCTACGATATTACCTTTAATTATTATATTCTTATCGATACTAAAACCATCCTATATATTGTTATAATTTCCTATAGTCAATATTACTACTTACCCCTACTATTCAATAAAACCCCTAAATGGATTATCGATAATTTAATATGGTATTAGAGAAGGTTAACGACTTTAGTATAATTTGGAGTAAATTAATTTAGGATATATCGCTAATGAATTAGGGATGAGCTAATTATTAATTAAAGATTTAGTAAATTTAACCTGCAACCTCTATTTTATTTAATTCTTTAACGAATATAGTACTAATACTATTAATTAACTCTATCCGAATTTACATAATATTAATAAGGTTTATTTAGTAATTAAAAAGTATCGCGCTCTTTATTAGCCTTTAGGGACTTCGAGCCTTAAAACTATAATATAAGAGTATTAATTAAAATATTAAAATCCAAACTTTCGTATAGGTTTATACGTCCGGTATTTTTAGAAATAAATTACTGACTTTCTCCTATAGTATATTTAGAAAATCCTTAGCGATAGGACTAATTTTATAATTATTTATTTTTTAAGGAATAAGTAGAATTCTTTTATAAACGCTTTATTAACTCCTTTAAATTGGATATAAATTATAAATATTTTTCTAGTATAGAGAATAGGGAAATTATTTAGGGCTTCTACTTAAAATAAATAAAACGATTTAAATTATTAAGTTATCCCAGATTTGTCCCTTTTTTTAATTTTAATAATTATTCTTCTTATTTAGATCCTTACTAATGCTAATTTGGCGAAGATATACGTACTTACTTTTAAGATAGTATTTGAAATTTTCGAAAAGGATTATAGATATATAGTTTAATAGCGTAAATTATTTAGAGAGGGCTTTTATAGTATTATTATAAATTAAAATGTTAAGGTAGTTATAGGTACGTTATTAAATTTTAAGATTTTTATAATGTATTATTGTTTACTTTTTTATTCATCAGTATAGGATTTTCGGCGTATATATTTAAAATTAATCCTTATTCTCCGTAGGGCTATATATTTTACTTACTATATAGTACAATTTTACTACATTTACTTTAAGCGTAGTATTAAAAGGTACATAAAGAATAAACCGTAATTTCGCTAATAGATAGAAGGGTTATTTACTTATTAAACCCTTAATAAAATACATATAGTTCTATTAATATTTAATATATAAATTAATAATTATTTATCTTTATGTTTCTAATTATATACTTAATTAATTATTCCTTAAATAATTCATTAAAAGAGGTTCGTATTAAGTATAATCGTACTTATTCCAAAATAAATTGAAAAATATAGAATATACTTCGACTAAATATTAATATAGTCGAAATATTGTATAAGCAATCCTACCGTTAGAACGAGCGGTTTGTATCGTTACTTCCTTATATTTATGCGTAAATTATTAATTAGAATACATTATTAATATATTAGAAATCCATTACTTATACATCGTAATTAATATATTAATAGGAATATAAGACTCGATTGCTAGCTTATAGTATACGAGGATATTTGGGCAAAATATAGTTTTAAATTTGGGTATTGAACTAATTCGTTAATAGATTGATTGAATTATAATATAATAAGGATAGATAGTAAATTAATAATAAATTAATAATTCATTCGATATATTCGCGGTTAATTTAATATAAATAAATAGAAGAGGGATAGTACGCCTATAATTAAAAAAATAATTAAAAAAATATTAATCTTCTTTAATCTAATAACCCCTCCTCGTCCTTTAACTACCCCTTCTATTTCTACTCTATAAAATATAATAGGGTTAATCTTTAATAATTCCCTAATTATATTTTTATTTCGGGTTTTTTAATAGTAATTAACCCTTTATAGAGGCTAAATCTTTAATATTACCATTCTAAAGTTAATCTTATATATTTCTCGGATGAATTAGTAAAATATCCTTAGAAATTTAATATATATATTAAACGTCGATTGCCTTAAATATTTACTCTATGGCTACGAATATTAATTTAAAGGGTAAGAAAAGTATAGGTTAAAGAAAGAAATAGAGAATTAATATACGTTATCGAATTTAAAAATATTTTTACAAAGCAAATAGAAGCGGAAATTGCAAATATTAGAATATAAAAAGAAAATACTAAAGCTTAACTAACATTATTTTAATTAATAAAGGAGGGTAAATTTTAAGAGCGGGAAGCATTTATTTTAATTATTAATACGATTTATACATTCTTTATAAATAATTTATTTTCGTTAGGTAATATACTATATATAATTATAGATTTACATAGCAATTTAAAATAAATAATAATATTTATACGTTTATAAGGCTACCCTTATAGGACTTTCCCTAT